AGGTAAAGAGCCCAAGACTGAACACAATATTCAAAATGTGGCCTAACCAGTGACCTGTAAAATGAAAGTATAACTTCTTTAGACTTATATTCAATATTTGTATAGATACAACCTAAAATCCTATTTGCCCTACCACTAGCAATAGTACACTGCTTGGATGGCTTTAGGTTATTAAGATTATTCCCATCCAGTTTATACTTATAATTCAAATTATGATAACCCACATGCATTATCTTGCATTTATTGTAATTAAAACCCATCTGCCATTTATTTGTCCAACTCACTAAATGATCTAAATCCTTTTGTAAATCAACAGCATCCTCTTCACAGCTAGCAACTCCCAAGACCTTATTAATATCATCTACAAATTTAAGTAATTTATTGACTATTCCTTCATCTCTCATTGATGTAAATCAAAAAGAGCAAAGCTCCTAAGACTGAGCCCTGAGGTATCCCACTTGTAACATTAATCCACTTTGACTGAACTCCATCTGTAACAACCCTCTGCTTTCTTCCATCCAGCCACTCTTCTATCCAATTTGGTAACTTATTCCCCACACCTATAGAGCTATTCTTTACAAGCCTTTTATGTGGCACCTTGTCAAATGCTTTCTGAAAATCCAGATATACCAAATCTACATAAGCAGTAACCTTTCCAAAGAATGTCAAAATATTTGTAAGGCTAGATTTTCCCTTATTGAAACCATGTTGATTATCCAATAAAATTCTAAACTTTGTTAAATGACTTTGCGAAGTATCTTTTAACAGATTTTCCAAAATTTTTCCCACAACTGATGTAAGACTAATGGGTCTATAATTACTAGGACAATTTTTATCACCTCTCTTGAAAAGAGGAGTTACATTAGCTAACTTCCAATCCACTGGTACCTGCCCACTATTTAAAGACTGACAAAAAATAGTAGCAAGTAGCTCACATATCCAATCTTTAACCTCCTTCGAAACCCTTGGGGAAATATCTGTCCAAGGAGCCTTATTTTTTAAACTTCCCTTGTTTTTCTTAACCAGCTCAGAATTAATGCAGTCATCTTGTTTGATCTTGTTTCCATTTGTACTGTTTATTCAGGTTAATATTTTCAAGAGCTGACCTTGTTAGCTTAAGAGTTTTAGCAACAAGCTTATTTATTAAAAACTGGATAATTGCCACTAATGGTGCAGATATATTTTAAAAACAGCTAGGCAAGATTTGGTTATTAATATAGCCATGTACTTTATCCAAGAATGTTCTGTTATAACAACTTGTATATTTAAATAGTTAATTATGATGATAATTATAATAAATAATCAATGTTTAAAATGAGTAGATAATATTGTGTTATTAATACTTCCTCTAATTCTGATTTGTAAATAACTTAAAATTGATAATTTACTTACTTAGCCTAGTTCACACCATAGCAGTTGATCATAAAATTGATAATACAAATAGTGCGTAGACCACTACCATGTCTTTGTATTCCAGCCAGCTTAATGTGCTCTGGTATTGGGCAAAAGGCCTCACCACCTCTCACATTTACCCTTAAATGTGTAGTTTCATGGCTACTTAACAATAAGAGTGCTAAGTTCAGGATGTGTGTATGTGTCTGGAATATGTTAGATACTAGACATTTGATTGGTTCAGATCTATTCACAATAGCCATTAATTTATCATATTTACTACAATAGTTTACTACCACTTCTTGAGACTGAGAACATTCAAATCATTCATGGTTTAGGACTAACTAATTGTTTGCTACTATTGTGTAATGAATAAAATTGTTGCTTGTGTAAGAACATAATGAAATTTAATGTAATGTTGTTGGTTTATATTAGTAAAAAATACGGGTGTAGTCGTTTGTTTTTTACATCAGTGAATGTATCATAAATATGTAGTTTAGATTATTTTTTCCAAACTTGATAACATTAATGAGTTGAAATTTTTCATTTTGTATAGTATAAACGTGCACAGCTTCACATGTAAACGTCCAAGCTATCATTCCTGTGGTATCTGATAAATAGGAATGTGGCAGCAGTTTTTGTATTGTGGGTGATAAGTTACGTACTTGAAAAACTATGTAAATATTGGTACAACCAAATATGGCACGCATGTAATTTAAAATACTAATGTTTTGCATGCAAAAATAAGGTATGTTAAACTTTTGCAAAATAAAAAGCATTTTTCAGAAAGCACATTCTAAGCTATCTTAACTGTATATTCTTCAGCACTAGCATGCAGTAAAAATAAAATTGACAAAATCATTTTGGTCCAGCAGTACTAAGCTTTGGCCATTTAGTAGTGTGTGTGTGTGTAAATACAACTGCTTTGATACTTGATTATTTACATTTAATAGCAATTTTTAAAGTTTTTTTATCTAGACTTAAAACACCCAGAGTTTATAAAACATATGTCCAGTCCTTTATTTCTTCTAAACCTCTGGGTGTTTTAAATCTGAATGGTGCTAAAGGAATTCAAATGATTATGTAGTTATATAAATCTTGACCAGAGTTGAACTTGTACTCCTGTAGAAGGTGTTGTGAGAACATCGAAACATGTAGGCTTTTCAGGGCTGGTTCCTGTTTTGATTAATTTTATTGTGTAATTATTTTAGCTTTGTACTTCTTATAATTGAGTGTATATGTATATTTTACAAGTGCTGTTTTAAATTATTCCCACAATCAAAGTCTCATGAGCATAATTGATTAGTTGAATATAATTGATTAATGAGCTGTATGATTAATTGATTAACAATTTCACTAACCACCCAGTTTAAATAGTATACCAAGATAAAGAAATTACAAAATGCAAATTAAGCTTTTCACCAGAAGGTCTTTAGTAAGACCAATTTTTTTTATAATCCTAGTTTATTATTACATTTTCTTTCTCTAACCCAAAAGCATACAGTATCTTGTTATTAATTCTGTACAGGTTGCTGTTTTAAAATACATACATGAGTAAATTCTAGGTAAAATGAGAAGTATAGCAGAAATTTTGAAAGCACTAGTAATGATAGATCTCGTATGTTAATGAAGTAAATGAAAGATAGATATAATTAACCTGTTGGGATTCGGCTGTGCTGGTTACATGTGCACTTGTTTATATAAAGGTAATCGTTTTTATGGACAATGCATGTGATGCGTTTACTTGAGTTATGAAATGTATGGAATATCCGAGTTACATAAATCCATCAAAACACTGGTTAACTTGTATAATTATTAGTTTCCTTTAATTTTTATTGCGACTGAATTGAGTATTTTCTGTTTGATTTACGAAACCCATGGTATGTGGTTTTATTTTTCCATTTGGTAAAATTTCTTCCCAAAATATTTCAGCCAAAAAACAAATAGCTACCTTTTTGTTGAAATAATTATCAGGAAATGTTTAAATTACCATGCTTTAAGAGTACTATTTTAAGTAATCTGAATATTTTTTTAAAGAAGCATGTCCAGTGTTGTAAGTAATGAGAACTACTTTAAGGAGTAGTAATTATAAGGATATTAGAAGTTAAACTCTGCTCATCACATAATTTGTAGTTCACACATTTTAAGTCTTCGTACTATATATCTCAATTTGTAAAAAGTTCTGCAGTTCATGTTTTTTAAGTTGTAGAGTGACTTTTTGTCAAGCTAGTGAACTACTTTTACATGTGAACCTTTAACTTAAGTATTTGGTACAGCATAATAAGAAAATGTTTGTGTTTTGTGTGATTCACAGTCTTGAAACAACTGTTAGATACAATTACTTCACATAATTTATAGGGCAAAAAATGTAATGTAAATTTATGAGTGTCAATAAATAACATGTAATTGGGTTAGAGCATTAGTCATAAATAGTCTGTTTACACCGTAACACCTGAATTTAAGATCTTTGAAAGTAAAGTAAGAATAAGAAAGCTACATGTTTATGCATTATAAAATTTACTAAATATTTTAAAATTAACATATATTGTAGATGAGTTACAACATTAGTGCTATAAGATAATCATAGTTCCTGGGCAAACATTATAGCTGAAATGCTAACATTCTACATATGTGTATTTATATGTTTTGTCAGGTATTTGGTGTGGCTGGATATTAGTACCTATTCAGTTGATAAATAGGTGAAATTTTCATACCACATACTAGAAATAGTGTAACTTACCATAGGTAACTAGGTGCTACTGAATTACGAGTGAAAAACTAACACACGAAAGGTCAATTAGCTAATAACTTTATCAATGTAAAATAGTAATAACACTTATAACTTTGATTTAGTAAATATTACAAAATTGTTAAAAACAATTAATTATCAGAAATGTGTTTTTATGTTTGATTATATAAATTCATATAATTTGATATTTTCCAAAGCACATAATTGTACTTTTCTGTATCAACCAAACAAATCTCAGTAAAGTGAATTCAAATAATTTTAGTACGCTGTGTAAATATTATGCTTTTCTAAATAATCAGTTTAATTTTTATCAGTTGAATTCTGTTTTAATCAGTCTTCTACTAAATAATCATTCATCAGCAATCCAAGTTTTAACCCAATATTCCTTTTAAGTTTTTTGAAATAAGGTACTGTTTTCTTCTTAACAAACATTTATCACTCAGTTCTCAGACAATTTTTAGTAGGCTTAGGTATTTTTATTTTGCACATTTGTAGAACTAAATTCATTAGTATATTGTTCAATTAACTTTATCACTTGTCATTTATTGAAGACACTGCAATGTTTGCTTTATCATGAGAATTTTTAAGTTAGATATCCTTGTTCAGTACATAAAGTTAAGGAGTTTTAAGTTATGATGTAAGAACATTAGTCACTACATTTTGTAGAAACAACTGGCTTCTTTTTACCTCATAAATATTTCCAGATTCTGAGAACAGGCACTGATTGGCTTGGATTAATAGGAATCTTTGTGCTGAATGAGATAGTATTAGAAATGTATTTTTCTTCAGGTTCCACCACAGTAATAGATTAATTGCCATTTAAAAGTGATAGCATTAAGTGGAAATAAATTTTGCTGGTAATATCAACTTATTAGTTATAACTTCATGTTTCTTAACTTTAAACAAGACATAAAACTCCATCCTTATATATATATAAGTAGTTGTGTAAAGCCATAGCTGCAAGACTACTGAAGTGGTTAAGCAATTACACTTTTATTCAACGACCCCTATTCTCCAGTACTTTGTGCATACCTATGTAATTGACAACTCCACAAAATGCTTAAAACTGTAAAGGATTATTGTAAAAGAACAATACCTTTCTCAGCTATGCATATGTGGCTTTAACCAATATACTTGTGTGAATATTTTGTTATTACTTATTCATGTTGTAACATTTGTTGTTAGATTTCAAAATGCATTACTTTCTTTTAATCCCAGATGATATAAAGGAAGAGAAACACAAGTTTATAAAAGTAATAACTCACTTCTTGTTAATTTGGTTAATTACTGTTTATACAATACTTTCTAACATAACTAGATGTATTTAACTCTTTTCAGAGGTTAACAATGGATTTGATCCCAAATTGGGCTCCCGTTTATGTAAGTGTTTAATCAATTGTTTACAATACTTAATATATTCAACTTGTTATCATGTTACCTGGTATCATGCATATCTAGTTAAACTTGTCATGAATTATAATGTGAGATACAGAGTATATTGTATATTGATCAAAGTCTGAAAATTCATGAAACAAAAGTTTAAAATATGATTGTCTTAATTTAATCTGTGTTACACCCATTCATTCTGAATCAGAGTATTGAATGTTAAATAGTAAGTAACATTTGTATAACTCAACTAAAGCTGGTATGTGGTTCTTCCAATATTAAAGGGGGGGAAAGCCATTCATCTTCAATTAGACCTATCATCCTTTCCACCATTATCTTCAGAAGAGGTTGAAGAAGGAAAATTTTACTTTGTTTTTCTGGGTTCAAGGCTGAGGCATGTTACTCCTGCAAAAGCCACATGGAGTCCTGGTTCACTGATACTGAAAAGTCACATTCCTGGTAAGGTTATTTTTTTTAATGGTTATTATTATTATTATTATGTACTTATAACCAATATTTGTTAAGGACAAATAGGAAAATTCTAAGGTAATAAAATAATGAAATTAGACTTTTGGGGATAAATCACCTTAAAAAAAAAAACTATGGTTGTGTTTTTTTTCGTTGGAGACATTTCAAGCAAACACTTTTTTTTTTGTTCAAGCCAGAAATAAGCATATTAATAATAAGTGCTATTTTTTTCTACACTGTAGCTATGAAGATGAAATGTTTTATTGAATTAAAACCTGTGTAATGCATTTCATTCCTCTGCTGTTTATTATTTAAGCTATATTTAAAAGAACTTTATTTTTTACATGGCTTAAAAGAAGTCTGTGGAGTTCCGTGATACATTATTTAGTCTATTCCATTTTCTTGCAGATAACAACTATCTTTTATTTTGTATGAATGAATATCAGTTCTTAAAAAAAATTTGTTAACTTGTAAACCTTTCAAATAAACTATATTTTGAGATCTGTTATACTCAAAATTAATAGTCCATAAGACTTCAAGTAACACTGAGGAATGCTGTCGTACAAATCATGTGGATACACTGTAATGGCTCAATTCTCATTGTCAGTTAACTGTACAATTGATGGTGAGCAACCAGTAGATTCAGGATATCCTGTAGGCTCACAGCATTCGGTTCTGCATGATTTGGTGTGATGAGAATACCTTGTATGATGTGAAGGTGGGTTCAATACAAGCTTTTTCTTTTCTCAGCCACTCTTATCCAAGAAATTGACACTGCATAGTCTCAGTGCATGTATAGATTGTATAATCGGCTGCACTTTGACATGGTCATATCTCAAGTGTAAACAGAGGTAGGTGTTCAATACTCTGGTATTCATACAAGATAGTTCCTCTTTCCATATACACTGCTAGGTCAAAAGGCTCTCACAGATAGATGTTGGCAGTCACATCCTGCTATTTTCTTCTACCATCTTCTCTGAATATGACAGTGGCAGAGTTCTGTTGATGCACCATATCTGATTTGAAAAATGCTATAATAAAATAAGTTATTTGAGTACCTGATGAAATGAAGTTGGAACTGGTAGTATCCATTGTTACACATATGGAATGCATTGTTATGAGTGTATGTATTAAATAGTTAACATTACAACAATGCAGATTATGTAGTGGTGGCAAAGATTCATAAATGCTGCAGTTGTTTTCCTCCCCTCCTGTGTCACATATCATAACCTGTACTTTCTGACATCCTACACCTTATAGGTAGTTTAGTGCCATAAGGCTCTGAAGTGGGATACTTACTTTATAATCATTTGTAGCAACGTGTATAAAAGTAATGACATCACTGTACATGTGAGGGATTTCTGAATTAGAATATACTAGCTGACATACCCATTCAACACACTGGGAAGACATAGAGGCTCTGGAGGTGATGTAGGTGACCCCTCTATGTCACTTCCTGGAAGGCTTCAATGGTACATGCTAGGTTTGGTGATAATCAATTCAGGAGTTTGCTAGTTATAAGTGAGCATACACCAACTTGTCAAGTAATGGTTTAGATTAAAGTAAGCCTACACAAAATCAATTTCCTTATAAAAATGTACATAAAGCTGTGGACACTTGTTTAAGACACTTTATTATATTTTTACGGGAAGTTACAGAGTGACTTGTAGGTTTTCTGATGGTCTCTAACTTACTCAATTAGCTTTGATACTTGTAAAATCAGAGAAGTGTTTCTCTTTTAAAAATACACAGATATCTTGAAGTTAGAACAAGTTCTTATTATTACAGGTAATATTAACAAGTTAACAACTTTCTCAGAAACATGTTCTTTGGACTGTGATCTACAAGATAAAAACTTTTCTGACCAAAATAATGCTTTATCTTAAAATACCCACTTGTGTTGTTGTTTTAGGTCATGTTAAGTGGTATAACATTTACGATATATCAATGAGTTAAACTAAGTCATTTCAGATAATGTAGCTTGTGTGTTATGTATTGATAGAAGTAGTGTGTGATTGTCATAATCTATGCCATGTTTCTAATTTACTGGTTTTTTGCATCTTATATTTTAAATGTCAAAATTCCTTTATATATTGTAGCATTGTAATAATTTTGTAAGTCAACAAAATTGGCAAGACTTTTAAAGACTAAATTTTAAATTCTTCACACACAATATTGAAACTATTCATCATCAGAAATATTAAGTTAGTTCTTGAAATTTATTTATGACATATATATTCAAGTTTTTAGGGTGTAGTTATTTTCTTTAAAAATATGAAAGTATGAATCTTTTACTGTTCATGTATAAATAGACATCAGGTTATTTTATCCATAAAACTTGTAAATATCACATTGTGTGATAGCTGTTAACTTTGACTAGTTGATTGGTGCTCATCTTCAGGTTAACTGTATATTAATTATTCCTTGGTTAAATCTTTCATGTAAAGATGTCAATGTATTTTTTTTTTCCCTAGATTAACGGATAGAATATCGTACTCATGCTGTCAATAAAAATCAATCGGGTCTCGGAGCTGCAGATGTTTAAAATGGTCTTAACCTAATTGACAGCATTCACTCTTTGATCTCAAGTGAAGCATTATTTAAGGATATTCAAACATATCCTGCAGCATTGCTATAAGACATGTCCAATTGCTGTAATCTTACTATATAAAGCATGGAATTCTGTTATGGTTTATTAAGCACAATGTTAAGCTTACATTGTATATTGATTGGCTAAATCTGATAGTTGTTCAACACCATGTTTTATCCTGATGTTGAAAGGAATATAGTTTCTAGAAATAGTTTTAAATTTGTATATTCTTTTACATATTAGTACGTCAGTCTTTCTGCGTAGTACTGAGTCAATTAAAGGACTTTAAGTAGTACTAATTGACATTTGAATATTGATATACTGTGAGAGAAGCTCAACTGAATATTGATATACTGTGAGAGAAGCTCAACTGAATATTGATATACTGTGAGAGAAGCTTAACTGAATATTGATATACTGTGAGAGAAGCTTAACTGAATATTGATATACTGTGAGAGAAGCTTAACTGAATATTATATACTGCAATTTGTGTGTGGATATTTGTTATTTTTTTAATATTTTGAATTTAACATAACATTCATACTGGAAATATTTAGCACAGTGAATCAAACACATTCTAATATTTTTTGATTTTTAAAAATTACTGGAAAAGTTTATTTTTTGACACTAATACATTTGGTAAACTACATCATATGGCTGAATTTTGAAAATATTATCAAAACAATGTTAGAGTATGAACATTTACACATGTATTATGTAAAAAAACTATTTAAATGTAATCTTTTACAATTAAAAATGATGACAGACTGTTTCACACAAGAGAATTCTATTTTAAACAAGTGTTAAAGCACTGTTTTTAAGGTTCTATGGCAGTTGGAATAGTAGTATTTTAAAGGGTATATTTTGTGTACATGCTGAAGTACTGAGTGATACTGATGAGTTAAAAGTATTATGTATGTGTATGTTATTGTGCAATGTTTTACTTACTTCTGGCCTGATCTTTTATAACATTCATACATCTATATAACACTCATTATTTAATTGAGATTATATAAAGGGAATTTTGTTAGACAAGTAGTTCAAAATATTGACACATTTTTCTGCTGTTACTTATCCAAAGTCTCAAGTACAGGGTAATGGTTCAGTACATCCATTTTCCTATTAAGCACCATTTTTTTTTCTCAACTTTAATTATAGTATTTGATAGAATGGGGCATCATTTAGAAAACTGACAGTCAACTTTTAATATTAAATGTGGTTCAAGAAATAAATTTCAAACATCCTGAATGCTGAAGAAAAAAAGTTTTTATTTAATCCAGTTTTAGCCAGTATCACCATTGTCTAGCAGTATTTATAGGACTGTAGCAATAGGTATAGTGAAAAGACAGATTATTTGTTATATTTCAAATAAGATATGAATGATTATGAAAATATTTTCGATTTTCCTGGAGAATCTGAACAATTATGATGCACAGAATTTATACTTTTAACTACTTCACTTTTTTTAGATAATTTTTTATTAGACTCTATAGTGTAATACAGCATACTGATAATGTTTAACTAGTGTGGTTCACATAATTTAACATTTTTGTCCTTACTTTCATGTGAAGGCCAAAGAATCTTGTATCAGCAAGCAAAGAAACAAGCAGTATGGAATTAATTATTTTAACAGAATAACATTTTTAGCATAACTTTAATTACTGGATAAATACATATAAAATGGCTTCAGGTATGATTGTATTTTATATGTACTTATTTCAAATGAATGTTCATTTATTGGAATTTATTATACAAGAAAAAATGTATCTATATACTTTCAGGTATTACTACTAGTTTTTTTTTTATGGTGGGGTGGGGGATTTATAATTTCCCAAAAGGTGGACCAAATGCTGCCTGGAGGGGCACCTGTTTTAACTATTCACACCACTGTACAATAGTGTGTTGTCTGTCAGTCAATCAGTAGACACTAAAATAATGTTACATAAGCGATGCTTAACATTGGAATTTGTACTGTCGTGACATCAGTAATGTTCACATGCCATGAATCATGAGTACAATTATGCAATTTATAGGCCAACACAGTATGCTGTAGGAACTTCAAAAGCAAGAAATAATATTTGTTACTCTTAGTTTTGTTTTATTTATATATCACTGACTTTCCGTGTCTTACTACAAATGTTTAAATTTTTGTTTTCATTAATTACTTGCATTCTTTTGGCAAACATTTATGCAAACTATGCTGTAACATTGGTGTGTGCCATTTTTTGGATTTTAAGACTTAGGATTAAAAATACAATATTTATTTCATGATTTTTTTCTCCCTATGTAGCTGTATAATTTTTAAATGATGTGTAATGTATTATGTGTTTTCTTCTTCCTTGTAGTAGCATTGAAACTTTTTGAAATTTAATTGTTCTTCTGGTCACATTCGAGTTGAGAC